TTTTGTAATCAGTCTAGCTAACGTGAATATGGTGTTAGCCAGTAAGTTATAAAATTAATGAATTTTAAAATAATTTGGTTTTTACTTTAAGACTATTTAAAAAATTATCCATCAGATCCTTTTTTTGTTTTGTTTTGTTTTGAGACAGTGTGTCATTATGTAGCCTTGGCTGACTTGGAACTCACTATGTAGACTAGGCTGGCCTGGAACTCACAGAGATCTATCTGCCTCTGCTGGAATTAAAGGCCTGAGCCACCATGCCCAGTGGGTAGGTCCTTTAAAAAATTATTGTGTGTGTGGGGGGATGTGCATGTTGTGTGAGTGGGAGGGGGATGTGCCATACGCCTATAGAGGTCAGAAGTTTGTGGGGTCGTATCTCTCTTTCCATGTTTATTATGGGTCTGGGGGTCATACTGAGATTGCTAGGCTTCTTTGGCAAGTTCCTTTACCTTCTGAGCCATGTCTCTGGCTCCCGAAGCCACTTTTGAAGATTAGACCTTAGCTTTAGTTGCTACTGTTACTGCAGAATTTTTTATTGATGTTTTGTTTTGTTGTACTAAAGATTGGACTTAGCCTCATGTAGGCCAGACAAACACTCTTAGCAATTAAGCTATATCCCCTGGTAATGCATCTAAGTAACTGTTTTCCTTCAGCTCATGGAGTTTTCCTAATGGCAGGTGATGATTTTTGTCATTTTATTGAAATATTGTGTGTGCAGAAAAGTGTACCAATAATAAGCATAATGAATATTCATGAAGAGAGTACATGTGAACCATGCATTAGAACATAAGAAAATCCCCATTATCCTCAGGCCTCATCCTGATCTTAAGCCAGCATACCCCTATGAACAGAGCCTCCATTATATGAATAAGGTGTCATCAGCTAGTATTTGTGACATCTTTTTTTGTTTCATTTTGCCAACTTGGATGCTTATTTTGCTTTTTCTCTTATTTTAAATTAAGTTTTTTTTAATAAAACAACTTAGGCATAAAGTTTTATAAAGTAAATAATAGTAAAGGCTTGTTGCAAAGTATACCAATTTCTCCTTTCCCTATGCTTCAAGATCCTTCTGCCCAAAAGAGGCAGACCTTTCATTTGTACATGTCATTATCTTGTACTTAAGTTATGTACTGCTAATTTTTGTTGGCCAAAATTATGTTGATTTCATACTGTTGTAAGAACCAACCCTTCCTTTCTCCTTTTCTTTCCTGTTCTTTTCTTTTCTTTGGTTTTTTGAGACATGGTCTCTCTGTAGCCCCCAGATGGCCTGGAACTTGCTATGTAGATCTTAAACTCACAGAGATCCTCCTGTGTCTGCCTCCTGAATGCACCACTATGCCCAACAGAACTTAAACTTTCTTTCTTTTTTTTTTTGGTGTTTTTGAGACAGGGTCTTCCTATAGTAGGGGCTGACCTGGAGCTTACTTTGTAGACCAGGCTGGCCTTGAACTCACAGTCTGTCTACCTCTACCTCCCGAGTGCTGGAACTTCAGGCGTGCACCACCACACCTGGCTTAAACTTTCTTATATCAGCACTTACATTGTATTTCTTTCTTAACTTTACAATTTTAAAAGTCTTTTTGTATATACATGTATATTTGATCTCTGTGTGTGTATATGTGTGTGTTTGCATGTTCATGTGCGTGAATGAGGTGCACATATACTACAGTGCTCATGTCGAGGGCAGAGGACAACCTCTGTGTCAGGCCTTGATTTCCACTGTGTTTGAGACACAGCCTCTTATTGTTCACCATGCTATGCATGTGCCAGGCTAGCTGGGCCTCTGCACTCGACTGTGCCCAGCTTTCTGGGGATCTGAACTTGGGTCTTCATACTTACATGGCCAAGTGCTCTTCCCACGGAGCTATCTCCAGCCTGTTTTCCATTTCCATTGCTTTTTTCAGTTAAGTGAATTCTTTGATATCATTATATGAATGTGCAAATGATATTAAAAATGAGTATTACAGGATAGTCTAATTAGGAGGTCTTTGTTTTTGTGACAGAGTTCTGCTATGTAGCCCAAGCCAGCCTTGAACTTTTAAATCTTCCTGCCTCAGCCTCCAGCAAGTACTGAGATTACACGTGTCCTGGTATGCTTCTGGTTTTTGCTCTTTGTTTTGCACGATGTTCACAGTTGTCTAGCCTTCCATGTGTTTCTTTGTCTTTGTAGCTTCCTGTCTCAAGTCACGCTCCCTCCTGCCCTCTGTGTTCTGGCTTTGGTTCTGGATCATTAACTAAACCTTGTGATTGCCACTGCAGCAGGATCTTCCAGTCCTGAGCTTTTCTGGCTCTCCTCTCCATGCAACTTTCTTCTAGCTTCCGTGGCATTTCTTTCTGGCCATTCCTTTTTAGTCTCACTGGTATATTCCATTCCCTTGCCCACCTCTCAGCCTTATTCTTCCCCAACAGTCTGTTGGTTACTTCTGCCATGGCCATCCATTCTCCCAGTCTAGAAGTTCTAAGCTCTGGACCCAGCTGTTTAACTGACATCAGACATGCAGGGGGTAGAGTCTGCTCCACCTTCACTTCTACGCCTTGTGATATCTGCATATCAGTTTGGTGGAGGTCATTCTGTCCTGCCTACAGCTCTGTCCCTCCCAGCATAGACCAGCACTTCCTGCAGTTCCCTTTACACACCCACATACACTGCACACACACCACCAGCTTTTCCCTTGCAGCGCTGCAGGTCTCCATTTTCAATGGCAAGGAGGCCAGAAGTTTTTCTCTCCCATTGTCCCCTCAAGTAGATTCTAGGTGAGGGGATGGGCTTTTGGGCCAAGTGTGAGATCCCAGAAGCAACAAAGCACTGTACTAATCTGCATTTCATGTGTACTATTGTATCTATTGTACATGTGTAGCTATTGTAATAGATCATCCCTTTCAAGAAATTCTCAACCTTGAGATGCTTATAGAGGGACCACTGCTGCTTCTGCGTGGGCATTTTCAGATGAAAAGCCACAAATGGCATCCTAATATGAATTTTGATACTTGTAGACTTAAAATCACAAGTGTGGAACTGTGGTGTGAATTTATAGGCAGAGATAATATACTTTGTTTAAACAAGAAAGAACGTACACAATTGAATGATCTCCTATCCACTTTTATTACTGTACAGAATTAGGACCTTGAGTCTGAGCATACATTCCTAAAAGCATTTACATTCATTTCAGAGGAGCCTCGGTTTCTTGGCCACATCTCATGCTTGGATCAGAATGTTTTAGATGAGACAGAACAAGGTGTTGCATCATTGCATTTCTCTTAGCAACACTTTCTAAAAGAGCTCTCTTCTGTTCAGTTCTTTAGGCACAAGTATTTATTTGTGCCAGGCATTAGGGTAGACACTTGTGGTACATAGTGTTGAAAACATGGGCCTCTCCCTGAAGTTGAGGGTAAGAGTAAGGATGTGGCACCCATCACTTGAAACCTTGCTCTTTAGAGTGTTGTCTGCAGGTCCTCAATAATGGCACCTCGGACCTTGTTAGAATGTGAATCCCATTTCCCCAGAATGGGGGAACCCTTCTGTCCAGGAGTCTGTGTTTCTGCAAGCTTCCAGTGCTTGCAGCTCATGGACCATATGGAGTAGTGGGGTTCTAGAGAACTGTCACAAGCTGGCTCTGTAGATGGTTGTGTGTGTCCCCATTAAAGGAGCAGAAGATTAAGGATGTACTGTCTATGCCTCTAGGGAGTGGTCATATGATTCATAGCTTAATGTAGATATGGCAGATGTTTCTTTTTATAATGGTGTAGCCTGTTGTGGGTCTCAGTTCAATCCATCCACCGATGTTCAAAACATCTGGGATAGAAGTTGAGAGCAAGATAGCCAAGAAGTTGCCAAATAGCAAGCTGGCATGGGGTAGTGGGAGGGAGAAGAGATACTTTCTGAATACCAAATGCCAGAGCATTAGCAGTTTCTTAGGCAACAATTAAGAATCTTTTTAAGCAGAATTAGAATGTTGTCACCACAGTACAGGTAAAAGTTTATGAGCCCTAAACAAAGACAGAGAAAGCTGGATCTGGAACTCATAAGAAGTATTGAATCAATCTGCTACATTTGTCAGAAATAGGAGAAGAGATTGTAGGTTCATGCTCACATTGCTGGCTCAGGACTTATAGCTGGGTTCACTTTAAGACTCTAGGAAAGAGCAGGATGCAAGATGTTTTACTCTGAAGATGTGCAGGTCAGTGTGAGATGTTGATGGAACTGCCCTGTAGGTATTCAGGCAAGAGTCCTGGGGTTCCAGAACCCTAGCTGAAGCTGCGTGTATTTGAAGCCCATGTGTATCAGCCCTTCAGAGAGTGCTCCAAGTGAAGAGACAAGCTACAGGTACAGGGTCCTGTGGAAGAGCAGCCTTCCAAAGAGCCTGACTGAGAGCATTTGGAGAGATAGCTTGTGGATCTAGAGAATGGCTGGCTTGACTTTTATTTTTAAAATGAGTAGCAGTGATCCTAGAACAGGGTCACAAGGTCATTCACTGCCACTGGTAACAACAGTGGAGCTCCAGGTTTCCTCTTAGTGCTTGCTGGCTGTGAGCTCACCATTTTCTTCTCTGTTTTTTAAGGTCCTTAAAATTCTGGTCAGAGCACTGGTTAATGGGATGACCGATCGAAGTGGAGATGTCACCTTCAGCCTCAAAGAAAAGCTGCAGGAATTGTTTGGCAGAGTAACTTCGAGAGTGACCAACGACGGTGAAATCTGGAGGCTGTATGCCCAAGTGCACGGGAGTGGGCAGAGTGAGGAGCCTGATGAGAATGAGAAGGTCAGGCCTGTCTGTCCTGGACCTCTGTCTTGCTGCCATGGGTGCAATAGACTGGCCTTTGTGATTAGTGGGGGAGATATCATAGTCTGAAAGATGAAACAAATATGCTCAAACAAAAAGGTGGTGGTGGTGGGGTGTGTGTGTGTGTTTGCATGTTTACATGTGCACCACATGTGTAGGTGCCCATGGAGGCCATAAGAAAGTTTCAGATCTCCTAGAAATGGAGTTATAAGAGGTTGTCAGCTGCCTGGTATGGGTGCTGAGAACTGACCTGGGTCCTCTTCAAGAGCTTCAAGTGCTCTTATCCAGTGAGCCATCTTTCCAGTCCCTCCAGCTTCTCCCTCCCTCCCTCCCTCTCTTCCTTTCTCTGCACCCTCCCCCTGCCCCCCCCAGCACAGGGTCTCCCTGCATCCTCAGTTGGCCTAGAACTTGCTCTGTAAACCAGGCTGGCCTCCTTCTCAGAGAGATCCATCTGCCTCTGCCTCTAGAATGCTGGGATTAAATCATGCATCACCACACCTGGCTACCTCCACCTTTTTTTTTTTTGATTCCGGGTTTCTTATTGAGCTGGAACTTGCCAATCAGGCTAGTTGGCCAAGGAGTCCCAGTGATCCCCCCATCACTGCTCCTCAGCACTAGGATTATAAGCATGTGCCAAATAAATAAATAAATAAATGAA